GTGTTATTGCTCAATTTTCCTGGTGTGACATTGGGTCTACATAAAGTCTAGTTTGAGATGTCACGTTTTTAGGGTCGGCATTTAAGGACTATCCGATCAAGTTCTGGTATCACTTTGCTAATTTTGGAATCTTACCCCGAGTTGGGATAGTTATACATTGGTGGGATTTTTTTAAGATTGAGATCTTGTTTCGGTTATCCGAATAATGATTCTATTAACAGTTTAAGTGAATTAATTAGTTGGAGCCGTTTGCATTTCACCCTTTAGTTAAGGTTATGGTGAAAAAAGGAACATCGTCGACCGGAGGAGGGTTTTGTGTTCACATGAGGAATGTGGAATCTCGATATTTCAACCAATTTTTTCTTGCTCTTAGGCTAAGTTCTTGTATGATTTTTTCTTTAGGGGTGGAACGGGCATTCCACAACTTTCAGGTCTCGTCTAATCATGTTTTGTATGATGTTTTGTCAGTAACAGTATAGACCCTGGTGAGGTTTCACTGTTATTGAGTTGTGTGTCTCGTATTGTTTTTGGCAAGTGCCGAGTGGAATGTTGATTGGCTTCTTGTTGGTCGGTGAGATGATGGTCATTTTCTTATAGGCCCACTGAGGTGCAAGGCATGGATCTTCATGCCCACTGATGGATGATGTCACAAATGGTGTAGAACCATGAGCTTCTCATTCTAATGGTTTATTAGTATCACAACATAACATGAACCATCATGGATTTGACTTATGGGAGTTGGAATCACAATTATATGGTGGAGACCTGTAATTTATTCGTTAATCGTTTGGTATAGTTGGCTGTTTGAGCAGTATAGTAGTGGTACTGATGACACAATGGTTGGCATATTTAGGGAGGGCGATTGTAGGAGGTGACCTGATAGAAAAACCACTCTTGTTTATCGACAGTTCCTTGTTGAATTCCTTCTTAGTAGGTACTTGCTCACTTTTGTGAGAATAGTTCGCATGAGTTAAGTTACCCATGATGGAGCTCGTTGTAGGTCTCTTGGATGATTTGCCAGACGATGGTGCACCTGCGATGGTGTATGATTTGGATGCCATGCAAAATTTATGTTAGATTAATCACTATTTCGCATGTAGGAACAGTGGATTAGTGATGACTTTTCTGGAAGTCAAATGTTTATTTAAAGTGTTTTGGACCTAGTTTCCAGATTTAGGATTTCTTGGAATTCATGTTTGGGATGCTTTGAGTAATCATTTTGCATGGTTGGGGAGGTAATCACATCCAGAGATTAGGGGTTGGTGCGATAAATATATGATCATCAATCATGAGTATGGTCTCTGGAGTTTATACCGATGAGTTCTCGATCTGATGAGGTGTAGTGATTGAGTTGGTATGTAGTTGTAGTTATGAGGGTCTTTCGGTTTGAGTGGTTGTCATTAAAGGAAGTGATTGCTAAGGTTTCCTCCACCCTCAACCTTAATCACCTCTAAAAGTAATCTTGAACAACCCTAGCCTCTTTGCAAGCTTGGAGCTCATTTTGGTGTTTATCGTGCACTTTAAAGGAAGAACAAGAAGAAGAAGAAGAAAATGATTCTAGTGCAAGGATCAAGCAAGCAACTCCTCTCTATCTTTAGGATCACTCTTTAGACTATTTGTAAAACTTAAAGAATTAATCTTTTTGGTTCCTTCTTAGTAGATGTTAGATTCTATTCATAGCTGGGTTCATATTTGTGGTTTGAATGGTTTAATCAGATAAAGTTTGCAACTTTATGACTCATCAAGATCCGTTGAAATTAATACTTTCTGGATGTAGAAGTTGGTTGAGTTTTTAAAGTTATGCATGTGGTTTAGGTTATGTTTCTCATATTTTAACCTAGTTTGAGTAAAGGGCATGCATGTCCATAAAATTTAGATTTTTATGAGCCTCTAGAGTCCTAAGAATCTTTCTGGAAAGTTGGAACAAAGGACTTAACGGATTAAAGGCTTAATTCGTTAAGTTGTTTAGAAGCAGTAACCAGGACGTGACATGGTTCTCGCCACGATGTGGATAACGTAGTATGCACGATTGTTTTGACGTTAACTGCCACGACGTGGCCATGGCTTGGCCACAACGTGCTGGTTTTCTGAGTTGACTTTTTGACTGTTGACTTTGATACGTTTGACTTTTGGTAATATTGCTAGTTTTAGAAGGTAGATTAGGGGTTTACCTTGTATAACTCACTAGTAGGTGTGTAGCACCCGCTTTTCGACTGTGTGAGCTTGTTAGCTGTCGACTACGTTTGTGAGGTGAGTCTTTTTGCTATACTATGTAAGACACTAGGTGTTAGATGTGCTTGTTGTCTTTGTGACTCTTGTTGTTATGTTTGCAAGAAAGTCCATCGGGAAGGCCATAACAATTATAGGAGTGTTGTAAGACTACAAATTTTGCTTGTAGCATTCACTAGGGATGAAATAGGCCCGTTGGCTGAGATAGGCCGTTGCAAGAGTGATTGCAAGTCTATAATTTAGTCCATAGTATTTCACTTGTGATGAAATAGGCCCGATAGTTGAAACATGTCGTGTTGCAAGTTTATGGTTATGTATTATATACGATATTTTGAGGAACTCACTAAGCTTCGTGATTACAATTCATTTTATTGTTTCAGGTACTTTAAGTTCCAAATGGAAGGGTCCAACTTGATCGCATTGCATCCCATGTAGTTTTATTCCGCACTATCCTTTTTATGATTTTATGATGATGCTTTGGAATACCTTACACTTTGTTTATCTTTTGAACAAATGAATGAATGGTTTTAGGTTTCTGAAAAATGAAATTTTTAGGATGTTATATGATTGTACATTTATGTCGAAGTCATACTCTTATTCGACTTCTGTAGCTTTTTTGTGATTTAGCTCTGTTTAAACATTATATATTTTTTTTGAAACAATGAATATTATGATATGTTTTCAAAAAAATGAGTTTTCAATATTTATAATAGTTTTAAATAAAAAATTTGGTTTGAAATTTAGGACATTACAGCTAGTCTCACGTAAGATGTCACATGAGCAATACTTAAAAAAATCGATCATAAAAATTAAATATGTAAAACACAACCAAGATATATTTTACAATGAAAATATATTAAAAACTTAATATATACAAACTAAAAACTTAATTTGGAGCATTTAGTCATAAGACTTAAAAAAAATCAACATCGTTCGTGTCTTATTTAATCGATGAAAACAATGATAAATTACATGTCCATATGTACAAAAAATTTGGAACAAAATTTTCTTCTAAAAATATAGTAGATTTATTATTCATCATGAAGAATATATATATATATATATATATATATATATATATATATATATATATATATATATATATATATATATATATATATATATATATATTTATTAATAGTGCTTTTTATTTTTGATTTATGGATGGTGAAGATGGGTGGATGTACCACCACTACCTCCTACGGTATCACAATGTGGATCTCTGCTAACACCACACTTGTTGATACTTCTTGTGTAGTGACATCATTCCGCAATACAAAACCCCCGCGCGTTGTCTCTTTTCTCATGGCATGTACACAACTTAATTTTCATTCAAATATGAAAAACATATTATTTTCATGAGTCTATAATACACATACACTCTTCATGATTCAAAAAGCTATGATGTATCTAATGAGCTATTACCTATATTTTGTACAACCTTTAATTTTTCCATGCCAAGCAAGAAGTATTTATTATTATTATTTTTTTTTATATATAATTCAAGAAGTACAGAGAAGCCAAGTTAAATATATTTTTATTTATTTAAAAAAATAATAATAACAATTAGATTTGTGACTAAGTAACTGACCCAGATCAGCGTAGGGACCAAGTCATTGACCTCTGGCTCTGGTATATAAACCCTACGCATCAGATGAACACAAATACTTCTATCGAGATCGGACATCCTCCTCCACCCCCGCTGCCTGTAAGCACCAAAAGTAAGGTTTTATATGATTTTGATAAGTTAATTTGCTTGCGTTATATTGCTTTATTGAATTTGGGTGTATGTGGATTTAGATCTGATTGCAGTTTAGTTTTTATTTTATTATGCTAAAAACCACATTCTAAATCCGAATTGATGCGTTTTAAGTTTTAAGCTATAGTGAGGAAAATTAGGGATTAAGATCCGAATTCATTAAACTTAGATATCATTGTTATATTTTTATTGAAAGATAGGTGTTGTTTGTTTTGTACTTTTGTTGGATAGGTTGAATTGATGATGCTTTTGTTTGATTTAATTTTTGGTATTTTAATTTTATTGGATTCTGATGTGGATTTGCATTTAATGATGCAGAAACTTCGTCCCCTTCCTCTGCCGTCGAGTTTTGAGCTTCTTCCTGGTTTGAATATCTCCTTTACAGCTAGAATACTAATTCTATTTCCTGATCTATCTTTGTATTTAATATTTGTTGTATATATGTCAAATATAACTATGGATCTTTATTCATCTATTGCTTCTAACATGATTTTGTGTAACCAATAGATAATGCAATCAAGAGCCATCGACAATGTAAAACTGTATGTATGCTTGATCTTACCTTTATAGTATAAGAATGTCTATATATTTATACTGTTTTTCTTTAGTGCTCTCAAACCGGATTTGGATCCGAATTCATGAATAGGTACTGTTATTAATAATATATAACTTTTTTTTGACGTTTCATTTTTATTTGATGTATCTGTTTTTTTTTTTTTAATTAACCATGTATATTACTATCTGTTTATCTATGTGTTTTTGTCCAATCGATTATTATTACTTGATTTCTAGTTTCCCAGGGATTAATTGATAAAAAGGTTAATGGCCACCAAGGTAAGTCAAACATAAAAGGTCATATGTTGTCATGAATGTGTGTGAGTGTGTGTATGGGTAGGTTTTGCTGGATGTAGAAGCTGTTTTGTTTTCTTACACGACAATATGGCATGTGTTTTGGTTTTATTTTGGATTTATTCAGAAATATTATTATTATATATACTCTTCAAAATCAAAGATGGCGACCTCAGTAACAAGTGATGTTCAAGTCATACCGTTTCATAACTGTAAAGGATGCATAGACAAGATGAAAAAGGCATTCCGTAAACTTAATGGTGTGGAGTTGATAGGAATGGACCCTGAGATTGGGATATTTACAATTTCAACCCTTGAGAATCTTGAAGGAATCAGGGCTGCACTTCAGAAGAAATTCCGTAAGAAATCTATTATTTTGTTGCCAGGGCCACTGCCACCACCGCCGCCACCAACAGAGCCATCGGCTCCACCCATGGCAATAACTCCTGAAGAAGATTACTATGTTATTGGTTATCCTATTGACTTAACAACTACCGAAGAAGATTACTATGTTATTGGGTATCCTGTTGACCCTTAATACTTCGGATGATGATTATCTAGATTGGTGTTGTAATTTTTTTATGATTGTGTATTTTTCATGTATAGTTGTGATCTAGAATTTGTAAAGTGTGATCCGTAGGGCTATGGGGTTAGGCCTGTTGACCCCCAAAAAATTAATAAATCTTTATTTATACTTTGGTTTATCATTTTCACAGTAAGATGATTGCTCCAAAGGCTAGCTAGAACAATATTCTGTTTATGATTGTGGTAATTCCTTGTGTTCAAATCATATCTATGACAATTGAAAGGTTTTTAGTTTTGTTTTAAGCAACTCACAAATGATGAAAGAGAAGACATGGGATACGTAATAGGCAACAATTGTATTTGAATAAATCAAAATAAGATGATCCAAGATGGAAGACAAAGTTGAGTAGCTTTACCTCAAATTTGGGAGTTGTATTAGGGCTTGGTCTTTTTTGTTTGAGAGAGAAGTAGATGGTTGTCCGGATGTCAGAGACGAAGAGAAAGGTGGGATAACGACAATTGGGGTTAAGCTACACATGAATGAATATAAAACCTGTCTAATATGGAGATTATAAAACATCAAGCCATAAAGAAACAGTTTACTACTTTAGAATTTTTATTTTTAGCCGTAAACCGAATCATGGTTAAATGTTTTTATACGATTCGGTTTGGTTTTTTAAGCAATCGGTTATGAAACCATCGAAACATGCTCCTTTTCATAATGGGTATTTTGTAACTAGTTATAGTTGAGTAAATTACAAGAATAGTACCTATGGTTTGGGGAATTTTATGCATTTGGTCCATAACTTATTTTTTAACTCGGAAGGTCCCTACTGTTTGTTTTTATTGCGCGTTTGGTCGATGTCTTACTTAAAACGACTATTTTACCCTTGATTTTTTAATTTATTTAGATAAACACACCCCCAACCCACCCTCACCTCACCTTATCTTTACATAAAAAAAAAATACTATTTTAATTAATTAAATAAGGGCGTAATAGTCCTTTAAGATAAGACAGAACCAAGTGCGTAACAAAAACAAACAATAGAGACCTTTCGAGTTAAAAAAAAGTTAGGGACCAAATACGTAAATTACCTCAAACCATAGGTACCATTTGTGTAATTTACTCTTATAAGTTTCACACTCATTAATATGGTAAGGGTTGTACCACAAATAACTTTGAAGTTTGTGTGAGGGGGAGACATATAATGCCGAACAAGAGTCGAACTATTACGACATATTGTAATGTCTAAGTCAGTAAAAAAATTTCTATATTCTTGTAATTAGAAACAAAGTTCTTTTGGGTTGCTTTCATAACTAAAACTTGATTAAAATGATATTTATAGATAGATGATGATTCATTAGATTATTATATGATTAATAAACTAATTAGAAATTATAACAAAATGATTTGTTAATATATTATATAATTAATATATTAATTGGAAATTGATGGTTGATTTATTAACTTATTATGTGATTAATAATTAGTATGAGATCAACTGATAAAGTAAATTGATTTGTGAAACATCCCCAAAATACGGTTCAAAATTTTCGTTTTAAATCATTTAAGAAAAACCATATTTCATCAAACATCATAATAACAAAACCACAATTATCAAAATGTTATAAATCATGTATCTCAAAAATCTCAAATCGTATATCAATGTGTCAAATCATATGTCAAAATATCAGAGTGAATCCTCCCAGGCTAAAAGTTGTGGTGTGTGCCATGCAGTCATCCCGAGCTCTTCCCTTTACTAGCGGAAGTATCTGAAACCAAAACTGAAAACTGTAAGCATGAAGCTTAGTGGGTCTCCCCAAACTACCACATACCTTACACATAACATGCAACTATGAGATATGGGCCCCACCCACTCTCATGGAGATTCGGGCCCCATCCACACTCTGCTGTCTCGGAGATTCGGTCCCCGCCAACACTCTGTTGTCTAGGAGATTCGGGCCCCTCATACATTCCGTGTTCTAGGAGATTCGGGACCCTCCTACACTCCGATGTCTAGTAGATTCGGGCCCCACCCACATTCCACTGCCTAGGAGATTCAGGCCCCGCCCATACTCCGCTACTAACATGCATAAAAGTATCACACAGACAACAAGTATATCTATTCCTATCTATGACATCCCCAATTTCACGGCCAGAAAAGACCGATTTGTTTATGCTTTGTTTCATAAATAAGAGTAATCGTTTAAAGAAAACGATTGTGGAATTTGTTCCTAAAACAAGATATGATAATAACTTATCAAAACATTTCTCAACTAGAATGTATTTTATTTAATAATAAAACCTTGGGATGTCATGTTCCGATACAGACCAAAAGCATAAACAATATAAAATAGACCTTACAACAGTTATTTATAACTACTGATCTATAATCCAAAATCTCTTGTCAAGTCCATCAACTTATACCCTTGTGCCATTACCTGTAATGCAAAGAAAACTGAGTGGGTCAGGCTTGGGAGCCTGGTGAGCATATAGGGTTTTCAACCCACAATAATACATTTATTATATTCAATTATCAAACAATCAACCCAAATACCCATCCCTGTATCTACTTTATTTTCTCAAGGGTTTACCCTAAGAATCCACTATCCTTTATTCATTCATTCCTAAGGATTTACATAAGGAATTAGCACGAAGTCCATTGCTGCCAAAGTTTATCTATCAGGTACTAAATCCATAGCTATCAGACACTAACTCCATAGTCACCACGGTTCACTCAACAAGCGCTAACTCCATAGTTACCAAGGTTCACTCAACAAGCGCTAACTCCATAGTCTCCAAGGTTTACTTTAACAGACGTTAAGTCCATAGTCACCAAGGTTTATACAATAGGCACGAAGTCACATCGTCACCAAGGTTTATCAATAGGCACTAAGTCACATAGTCGCAAGGGTTTACTCAATAGGCATGAAGTCACATTGTCACCAAGGTATGTCAAATAGGCACTAAGTCACATAGTCGCCAAAGTTTACTCAATAGGCACGAAGTCACATCATCACCAAGATTTATCAAATAGGCACTAAGTCACATAGTCGCTAGGGTTTACTCAATAGGCACGAAGTCACATCGTCACCAAGGTTTATCAACTAGGCACTAAGTCACATAGTCGCCAGGGTTTACTCAATAGGCACAAAGTCACATCGTCACCAAGGTTTATCAAATAGGCACTAAGTCACATCGTCACCAAAGCTTACTCAATAGGCACTACGTCTCATAGTCGCTGCTATTTCATCTACCCATGTTCTACCCGACACGCTTGTAGATATAAAATGCATATACAGTTTAAATCATTTAACACACATATAAAAACATCAATTCCAAGCCGATCTCAAATAGTCAAATAATACATAACACATACCACGTAGTTCATAGCTAATACTTTATATTTATGTGTTAGAAGAAAGTAACCACACACTCACTCATATAAACAACAATATATATACACATAGCACGTATTTTATAAAATACCCCATATCTATGTGTAAGATGAAAGTGACTATACACTCACTTGATTAGACAACGCTCGGACAACACTATGGCTCTTCACACACCTAGTTTCTCGCGAACAGAGCTTCGGCTCGGAAACTCTTTTCTTCTCGGGATCTTCGGGCTTCGGGACTCGCTTCGGATCTCGGGATGATACCGGGGCTTCGGGGGTACTTTTTTGCATGTAAATCGATGCAATACAGATGAGAGATGAGAGAATGAGCTACCAAACTCGGCTGGCCATTCAAATCTATTTATAGGGCAAAATTGGCCCTTGCCACGTCGTGGCACCTTTTTCCACGTCGTGGGCTTGGTCGTCACTGCATACGTCATCGTCCACTTGCTCTTTCAGGCTCCAGAATGCATCAAAAGTCATGCCCCGTCGTGGCCACTGTTGCCACGTCGTGGTCTCTGACACAGCTTTGGGGTTCGCGCCCTGAACTTCAGAAATTCATACCTTTCGTATACGAACTCCGTTTTCGACGTTCTTTATATCAACGCGTAGGTGAGATTATGATCTAAAACTCTCGTTTAGACTCCGTTGGCTAACTTTGATTTTATTTTTAATATATTATAAATATATTACTTATATATTATTTTTAGTAGGCCGGGACAGGAAAACTCCGTTATAAATTCATAACTTCTTCATCCGACGTCCGTTTTCACCTATCTTTTTATTGTTTCACTACTATTAACGAGATCTTCGATTCTCGTTTAGATTGTTTCGGCTAAAAACCGCTCGATCTCAAATCGAGTATTCGGGTTGCATACCGCTAAGTCAAAACTTCAGAAAAATCATAACTTCCTCATACGAAGTCAAATGTGGGCGTTCTTTTTATGCACACTCTCGGTTTAACGAACTCTTCAACTTTCATTTAGATTACTAAGGCTAGATATCGTTCTATCTTAAAATCATATTTTACGTCATTCGGCGTCGTGCCGGTTGTTTCGCGAAACTTCGATAGGTCATAACTTCTTTGTTATATCATGGATTTCGGCGTTCTTTATATATACGGAATCTTTGTAACATATACTATAACTTAGTTAAGGTTACTCATTCTAAATAATCTTCCATCAAAAAGTCATTTTTGATGCTTATCGTCTCTAAATTGACTAGCCATGATCTACGGGCGTTACACAATTAAATAGTCACATAACTATACTCAAATAATACTAAAAGATTCAGGACCTGCCTACACTCAGCTACTATGTGATTTGGGCCCCGCCCATACTCAGCTACTAACATATCACATGTATGGGTCGGCCTTGGTGTCTTAGACCCGTTCCTACTGAAGGAAACTCACCTCACAAAGCTAACTACTAAAATCTCGAGTGAGGAATCTCTGATGGCTGCTCCAACGACTCCCTGACTATTAATATCATAATAACACTTAGTCAAAACCTAATAATCCTCCTTAAGGTAAAATGATCTTTTTTTCCCTGGTCAAAGTCAACGCTTTGGGCAAATTCAACCTTCTAGTCGACCCAATTCGCCGAGTTTCTCC